CCACTGCCTCTCTCACCCTTCACTCCCCTGCTGGGGCTGGACCCTCCTTCTTGCCCCAGTCCCTTGCTATACTTGATGGCACTAATGTCTCTGGTACCAGGTCCTACCCCTCCTTGTTCCTGGCACTAACACCAATGGACTCCCACAGGTGCATATGGCCCATCCTTCTCCCTCTTTTCCTTTACCCAGGGATCCAACTATGTCCATTACCCCAAAATCTGTCACTCTTGCTGCCTTGAGTTCCTTTCTTCCTAAAAGGCAACTAATCATGGGGCGCTGTGCTGCTCAGTAGATTAATCCACTCTTGCCTTCACAGCTGACTCCCTTCAAGGAGGTGGGGTCTGGCTGGAGGCGTTGGACCCCTGGGGGTGTGGTGTGGAAACCACAAGCCCCTCTGGCTTCTGCCTTTGCTCTCTGCTTTGGGACCCTCATGAGGTGAGCGGCTTCCTTCCAGTATGCCCCACTGCCGTCCTCTTCCTGGTGGGAGCTGAGGGTCCATGGGCAGAATCCATGAGTACAAATAAACCTGTCCTCTTTTAAGCTGTGAGGAGGTTGTTGTGTCCCAGGGGTGAGCAGAGTGACTAAGACATGTATTCAGATCCCCCCAGCACATTTCTAAGACAAACCAAGTAACATCTGTGTGCCAAGTTATGTACCTCGCAGAGTGACAGCCACAAATAAGATGGACATAGACCTGCTCTCCTGAGGGACACGATCTAGAGTATATGGAGTGAAAATAGGCTCCACCACAGTGCCACTCCCACATCCATCTCTGTGTCCTCAGGACTTCACACAGCGTCTAACATACGACAGATCCTTAACAAATACCTGGCAAGAAAAATGAATGCCTCTCAAGTCTCTGCACTGCTCTCCGCAGCAGTCGAAGCCCAGGTCCGATGCAGTCATCTTAGACTCTGCAAATGAAAGGTAGCCAAAGAGGCTTTCTGATGAGAAGCTCCGAGATGAACAGACAGAGCCAGCCTCTGGGGACGGCACATCACCGAGGCAGGAAGGAAGGCAGGCTCCCGGAGCCAGCCTTGCCACGACCAGCTAAAAGCGGCTGTGGGTGTGCTTGGCTTCTGTCTCTTTGCTATTCTGGATCGTCTGGGCCCTCCTCCTCCCACGGCCAGCCTCCTCCCTTCACCCTTCCAGCTGCAGTGGGGATAAACCTCAGGCCCCGCCCGGCGGCCCCTGCCGCTCTGTGCATGTGGCTTCCTCTCCCCACTGACGTCTTTCACTTCCTATCTCAGCCCCGCATAGAGTGGCCTGATTGTTGCGCTACCCTTGTTTTGAAGGGGCAAGAACCTCACGCCAGCCCTGGTCCTTGGCAGGAATTCCACCAAGAAACCAGCACAAAGACCAGCTCCTCAGGGGGTTCTAGGTGCCCTCGGGCTGGGCCACTGGTTCCAGGAGGTAAACCGAGGCCAGCCCCAAGCCGACACAGACACATGTTCCACACGGTTCAAATCAGGGCCTGAGAGCACAGAGGAAGGCCAGGCGGGTTCAGGAAGACGCATCAGGCTGGGCTGCTGGCAGCCTCTGAGGGGCGCCCCCAGCACCATGGCATTCATTCATAAGGGCAGTAAGGTCCGAAGTGGCCAAACAGAGATGGCAGAGAGAAACAGGCTGCAGGGCTGGCACAGCTCCTGTCCTGCGCAAGCGGGAGAAGCCAGGGGTTCATGGAGGGCAGTTTGTCAGACTGCAGCCACAACACAGCCCTGCTCAGGACTCAGGGCTCCTAGCTCAGACACAGACAGGCCCGCCAGGAAAAAGGCTGAAAGCGAAAGGAGTTTCCCAGATAGAGAATGACTCCTCTTGATGCTAATAATCTATCTCAAATGCCAGACTATCCTCTCATGGGATCACAAAGGAGGCCCAGTGAAGAACGCCAAGAATGCTGGAGATCCAACTCAGTGATAGGGAGTGTCCTCAGTGGAGCCTCAAGCACTGTTCTGGTGGCTTATAGCAGTGATGGGCGACTTCAGTGTGTGTATCTGTGCCTGTTCATGGTAGTGGAGACTGAACCAAGGCCTTCACGCCGAGCTACCTTCCTAGTCCTTTTCTATGTATTTATTTATTTTCACTTTGAGACACAGTCGCACTTAAATCCTCAAGCTGGCCAAGATGGGCTTCCACGTGCAGTACTCTTGCCTCCGCCTCCCAGAGTGCCGGAATTCTACGCATGAGCCACCACACCTGGCATCTTCTATATCCTAACGAGCAAAAAAGATCATTTATTTAGACTTGCAAGTCATACAACCTCTGTTCCAACTACTCCATCATACCACTGTAGCATAAAACCAGCCACACACAATACATAAACAGTGGGCGTGTCTACTTCTAATAAAGCTTTATTTAAAAACAGGCATATGGCCATGGACCATAGTTTGCCAAGTTATGGTCATTGGGAAACATGCTCTTATATATTGTTTTCATGCTCCAAAGAGGAACAGAGGCTACCACATACCCAGAAGACCCTCCTCCACTCCACAGGCTGGGCCTATGTGGGACGCAGGACACAATCCCTACTACTCCTCCTTACAAGGCACTAAAGAAACTCAAGATGCTTGTTCCCAAAGCCTGGCCTGAATCAGAAAGCTGGAAAAAGTTAAATGTCAAATCTGAGGGCTTCAGACTATAAGAAATTAGACACCTTGGAGCAGATAGCAAGGCCTAACAGGGACGTAGCATGTCCATGCTCACACAGCGCCAAAGGACTCCTGACTGTGATGTTCCTACTCCCAGTGGGAAGGAAGCGTGATCAACAGCACGCCAGGGCAGCCATGGACCTGCAGGCCCTTTCCACAGCACGCCCTGGGCTGCACATGGTCATGAGAGCAGAGGTCGAGGAGACAATGGGCATATACACATCTATTCTTCCAATGTTGGAGCATCGTTAATGGACAGAAAAAAACAAACTCAAATTTGAACTTTAAGAAAAGACACGGTTTGATAGAAGATGTGGGTGGATGGCAGAACTAGTCCAGGAGTCTGGGTAGGCCCTGGGATGATAAACATTTAGAAGGCATGCAGTCCTAGATCTGGCTCTGTCCCCCTACAATCACCACGTAACTTTCAGCTGCATAATCCAGCAGCCTCTACACCACTTCTTAGAACTGACTTCTACAAACATCTGCGTGCCATAAACATTTCCATCCAGATACCCTGCCACCTAAGGAAGGCAGTGCACCTAAGCACAAACCAGACAGGATTCCCCCAAACCAGTCTGGGGGCTGCTTTCCCTACTTCCATCAATCCCGAAGGCTCACAACTCCAGTCTCTTCCAAATCACATTCTGCCCTGCCCACTACACAGCCTCTCTGAACTATCGGTCCCTCTTCCTCTCCACACCCACAGGCTCCGCCCTCACCCTCACCTTCAATCCAACACACTGCCAGTTCTGCTTGGGGCCCTAGATTCCAGGCCTGTAGCAACACCAGGTCATCCTCCACACTCTCATCCCCCTTCCACCCACCACCCTGTCTTCCAGGCCAAGGTCCAGTATTACCTTCTTCTGGCTTCCCAGCTCCCAGACCCTCACTAACTCACTGTGCCAAACCCTGAAGGATTAAATCCTAGCTTTCACCAGGAGGCACAAAGACCCAAGAAAGCCTAGCCTTCCTCGTTCCTACAGCTTCAAATTCAGACTCAAAATGCGCAGGCCTCCACCATCTCCCTTACCATCCTACCCTCAGCTCCTGCCACCCCAGAACGAGCCCATAGCACTGCCAAGCCCATCAATTCATGGCCCTCCCTGTGTGCCCGTCATTCCTGCATCCACATCTCTGCCCACGCTCAGCTCACCCTGCCCTGCGATGACGTCCACACCCTGCCCCCATCTACTCCAACTCCTACGCAACTGCAGACTGCCAAGCTCTGGAGGATACAGGGATGCAGGAAAGGGGCAGGTGATTTAAAAAAAAAAAAAAAAAAAAAAACAGGGAAGGGGTCATGAAAGGAATACATGGGGTCTCCAATCCCTGGGAGCATCATTCTCCCAATGGGTCGCAGGCGATCAGAGAAGGAAGAGGCGGGAGGAGGAGCCAGATTTTTCCACTGAACGAAAGGCATGATTTTCATCACTGCTTCTGTTGCCCTGGTAACCAGGGACAGCCCAGTGGAGAGTACAGTAAAAGAACACCATGTTTATCTTTGCCGTCTGATCCACTTCCCTGTGCACCCTTCCCTGACCACCCGCCAGGCCTGCTCCAAATGTCTTACAATGCGACCACCATGTTTCTAGTTTCTGTTGCCCAAAACCCCAAGGGCAGAGCTCGCTTCTCTTCCTTTATCCAGATATTTGTACCATATGCTCTTCTACTGCCATACCTTGTGGGTCATCTCACCCCACCTACCTACCACACCAACAACTGGCCTCAAAAGACAAGAATGGCCTCCACTCTACCACGAAGGGAAATAAAGGGATATGAAGGCATGAAGACCCCTGCCAATCCCTCTCTCAGCCCCAGACAGCTAGTGTGGTTGGGCCTGGGTCTTCCAAGCCCCCTCTTGATGCCTGGGACCAGGATCAGGAGCCAGGCTGGGCAGAGGATCAGGTCAGCCCCAGGGTCCCATAGATCCTGCCTCCCACACAGGCGCAGCGTCTGCATGACCCGAGAAGAGACACAGCTCTCTCCGGGGAGGTTATATAAGCGTTATATAACATGGTGGCACCAATAAGCACAGAGACCCAGCCAGTGCCAGGGACAGGCCATGGGTGGAAACAAACCCGAGGGACAGGAAGTACAACCCTCTTGTCACCAGTGCCCAGAAAGTGCCAGGCCCCAGCTGCCGCAGCCCTGTCTCTACCTGCTGTTTTTACCCCAGAGGACAGGGAGGGTCTTGCCTGGCTTTGCTTTTTTCCCTCGCTAGGCAGAGGGAGGGGTATCACCACCACCACCACCACCACCACCACCACCAGGCTGCCCTTCCCACGGGGTGGCCAGGGGTCCTGGGCAGGGGAAGGGTGACGGTCAGCACCCCCTCCTCTGTCCTCCTACCAGAATGCGCCTGTCTGGGGAACAAGTGTTGCAGCCGCTCTAGGATTGGCTGGGTCCGCTGTCCCTCTGCTCTGTCATTTGCTGTTCCTCTAAAAAACAAAACAAACCGAAAGGGAAAGAAAAAAAAAACAATAAGCACATTTCACAAATACCAAATCCTAAATTCTCGTCTAGGGTTTCGAATAAAGCTGGAAGGAAAAGGTTCTAAGGAGACCCCCGTATTTCCCCGCAGCCGCACCTCCCACCGTTTCCTGGCCAACTCATCCCCCGCCCCCACCCAGGGACCCGGTCCGCAGCCCCTGACCCCCCGCAGCTGCCTCAGTTACCCAAGCTTCCACCGCGGTGGCCTCCACTCCCCCACTCCACCCCAACCTAGCCCGGAAGGGGGCTCAGAACCGAGGTGCCTGGGTGCGCAGGCGGGGCTAGGCAGCCAGCATGGGGCACTCGGGACCAGATCCCCATCAAACTCCTCCACTGCACCACCGCACCCACTTTGTATTTTCTGGGGGATGCAGGACACGGAACCAAGCCCAGGAGGATCTTCCCGGCACCTGCAGCTCTCCGGCCTTCCCGCCTCGGCTCCTTTCACGCACCTCCGCGCCCCCGAAGACGCTCGCAGAGGAACGCGCACGGACACCCCGACTCCGACGCACCGTCAGCGCCCCCAACCACCTGTCTCGGCGGCCGCCCAGACCCCGAGCGCTCTGCGGCGCCGGGCACCACGCCCACTGCGGAGCGGCCCGGCGCCAGGTGGGGGACGCAGCGGCTGGCGAGGGCCGGTCCCGCCGC